CTGGCTTCTCGACTCGATCAAGAAACCGACCCCCACCTCCCACAAATCTGCTATTTACTTAGCTCTGTAAGAGACTTCCTATGAGGAGTGACTCTAGTTGTCATGAGAATTCAGATTGGCTTGTTAGCCATTACTCAACAGCAAGGTGACGTTCGGTTATTTTGGGGAAATGTGTCAAATCGAGCACTTCTCTTTAAAATATGATTGTCATCCATGACATTATAGCGAGATACAAAACATTTTTTGTCGTTATTTTGAAAGGGGGGATAAAACAAATATCATTTTTTACTTCATCAATATTTTCCAAATCTAAGTAAATCTAAAAGCAATTATCCTAAATATTTATAAATCTTCACAGATGGATCAAAATACAAAAATGAAACCCGGATGTGCAGCAGTGGATAAGATGAAAATAAAAGAAACGTCAGCCAAAAGAAACTTCAATTTTCAAAGGAGGGGATTGTGCAATGAACCGAGCACTCGACTTCATTTCCAGAAAGAGAAATAAAAAAAAATATATATATATACACTATTCTCTGATTCCCTGACAATAAGAACAGCAGTATAAAAAAAACTGACACCCCACTTCTAGTGAAATTGTTGTGTAGGCTTGATTCTTTGTTTGACAGTAAAGAAATGGTGGCATGCTGAATCTAAAGCCATATAAGAATTAAAGAAAATGGCCAAGCAGACCCCACATCTAAATCTGCCCAAAATAAAACAATTGATAATAGTTTTAGGATCACTTATGCGAACCTGAAAACTGATACAGACAGTTTTATTAAGCAGAAGTGACAGAAGATCTTAGCCGACAATGAAGACAACTCACTTCTTACAATCAAACTGGCCCTGGGAGATTGAGGCAGGTGTCATTGGCTCGGCTACACCTCAGCCACACCTCAGCCACACCTGCCTCACCCATTCCTACTTGTTGAAGAATAAAGATCAAACAACATATACAAGATGTCCTACTGCATTCACGATGGAAGACCATTTAACTGAATATACTCACTTAGCACTTGTCAGACATAAATAACAAAAGGAAACCAATATGAGAAAGTCTCTGTTTCTCATTCTCTTTCACTCCCTTGCGCCTTAGGGGCTTAATCGCCTTGCTTGGGGTGAAACGATTAAAAAGTATAATTGTCCATTGTATTCGGATTCGCATTTCAAAATTTATCACCCAAATAAAGTTTGGTAACAAATTCTCAAAATATCCCCCGGGTTGTATGTTAGCAGTACCCTTCAGTCCTAATTGATCTCGCGAGACAAGCTAGCTCATCATTGCACCACATTGAAGAGCCCAAGAAAATGATTTACTAAGCGTAGCTTACATGTGGCACAAGGCCAAAAGTATGAAGCATCTAGTGGGAATTGAACTCACGATTCAGTTGTAATAAGATAAGCTCGCTAACGATTACACCACGCCGATGTGCCCAACTCAATTGGAATAATGTATTGATAAGAAAAGAATAAAGTCCTTGAAATATGATTTTATAAGACAACCGTTCAAATATGATCGTTCCTTATTAATTATGTATATAATGTATTGTTATAGAAAATTAGGACCTTTTTTAAATATTGTGTACAAAATTTTTGCTAACATCGAATTATTGAATAAAAAAAAATTAAATCATTGCTCAATCAACATACAAGTATAATAACATTGCAAAAAACGTAGACGCCAGCGAGCCAATGAAATTGACCAATGAAAAGTTGCAACTGCCTCTCACCTAAGCCAATCAGCGATTACCTTAATTGACCAATCATCTGTTAGAGGACCTAAATTACTCGACTAATCAGAAAGCAGAACGATTTACTATAAAATCTGCTGCCTCGATGGCGTGATGTTGCAATTTTTATCTTCTTTGTGCCGCACGGAAGAAGAATAAGTATCGTATTTTACCGGAATGGCTCGTACTAAGCAAACCGCTCGTAAATCCACCGGAGGTAAAGCTCCAAGAAAGCAACTGGCTACTAAAGCTGCCCGTAAAAGTGCTCCAGCAACCGGAGGTGTGAAGAAACCCCATCGTTACAGGCCAGGAACAGTAGCTCTTCGTGAAATTAGACGTTACCAAAAGTCTACTGAACTTCTCATCAGAAAGCTGCCTTTCCAACGTTTGGTTCGTGAAATCGCCCAAGACTTCAAGACCGATCTTCGTTTCCAGAGTTCTGCCGTAATGGCCCTTCAGGAAGCCAGCGAAGCTTATTTAGTTGGTCTTTTCGAAGATACTAACTTGTGTGCTATTCATGCTAAACGTGTGACCATTATGCCGAAAGATATCCAATTGGCCCGCCGGATCAGTGGCGAGAGAGCTTAAAATTCATTCACTGGGTTCCTAAGCAGAAACGGTTCGAAGGTCTATTACTCAGTTGTTTTATTTACTGATTTAGACGATGACGAATTTCGAGTTAACCACTTTTTTTTTTTTTTTTTTTTTTTTTTTTTTGACGCAGATTACAACTTCATATGAAGTTTTATCATTTTCAAAATGTCGCCAAACCTCTTCAAATCTTCGACAAATTTCTACCGAAAGCGGGCAGTTTGTCTTCCCGCCAAATGATCAGCGTCTTAACTTCCTTTTTCTAAGATGCCTGCTACATTCAATTCCTTCTCTTGCCGCTTGAGGATAACAAAAAAGTGAATTCGGGCCTTCATTCGTTCTAAACAACGCTGTTTTAATGTTTTAAATCCTACATTGTCTTTATTTAATTTTCTTTCCTAAACCCAAATAATCGAACTTGACGAGCCTTCAGTCGTGTTTTCGTGTGGAACACGAAATAACTACGACGCTTACAATAAAAAAAACAAAACAAATTAAGCTTTAAATTAAATGGCTCGAAAAAGCTAAAATTTCATGTAAGAAAAGAACCCTACTAAACTAATTCCCTTTCTGTAAATCTTTCTCTTCACCCAGATGACCCCCCATTCCTATGCATGTCTTAAAGTACGCTATGTATTATATAACTTCCTACGCCGGTTCCAAGTCTCTGTAGTCGTTTAAAAGAAACCTAATAATTATTTTTACATTATCATTTTTCCTATACTCTATGAAAACGGAGCCTTGATTAAAGGTCGTAATTTTAATTTTATTTCTTTTTCTGACTTCTTGCCTTCAAAATTTTTAAATTAACTTTTGAGATGTTCTTAAAGTTCTTTCACTTAACACCATATCAAAAAGCGTCGACGCTGGTTCAATTGTTGGATATAAGCATCTACAAATTGCTTTCGCTTACCATAAATCTTTTTACTAGTAAGTTCGACATTAGATAGTTTCTTGTTCTACTTTGACAATAGATAAACCATAAATCCAGTTTTGGCGACATCATGGTGTCCCTTATAATAAATGGTTTTCCGCCGACTTTTTTTTTTTTTTTTAAATGTCTGCATAAATTCTACAAAATATGCGTGCAGAAGCTGCCGTATAACTAAGATAAGGACTATCAGTCTCGATAGACATGACTGGCTTTTTAATAATTTTAAAAAGAAAAAAAAAAAGTGGTAGTTAATGATAAAAACTTTACAAAAAAAAAATCTAGAATCGTTTTTCAAACAATACGAACATAAAATAGACGAAGAATCGAACCTGATAGTGGGATGTACCCGGATGTAAATTTTAAACCTCCATAGTCGACTATAAGCCATACTAAAGACCTGGAAATATGGCAATGTAACTAAGCATTAAGTCAGATAATTGTAACGAACCGTTTTTAAGCAACGGCACACCTCTGAGCAAATGAAAATATCACGGCACACTTGACAAAATTTTTAAATACTATGAAATAAAAACAGAATTTAAAAAAAAATACACAAATATGAACTTACTTTATTCCAATTTTTCTATCCAACTATTTTAAAAGAATAATACTTAATAAAAAATGCATATTAAAACAAAGTATTTAAAATAGCCTAAGTCTTTCACTATTCCTCAATTATTTGGAGAAAAAAGTTTAATACAGTGTAACCCGGATATAAGAGTTGTCGGGACCGGAGAAGTCTCTTATATCCGGGTTTCTCTCATATCCGGGTTTGGTCTATTTTGTTTAGGTAAGTATGGGAACACTTCATATAACGCTTTTTACGTACAGAACACTAGTTTATCTAACAGTTATAGACATAAAAAAAAACAGACAAAAATACATTTTCAATCAGTTTTCAAAATAATTCTATCAAAATTTACTTTTTCTTAAAAAAAGTCAGTCATTTGTGATTGTACAGAAATCTCTTTGTTAACATCATGAACACTTTCATACAGTCCGTAAATCATTTTCAATGCGCCATCAGGATTACTGCTTTTTGCTTCAAAGTAGGCTGTCAAAGTTTCAAGCGCATTTATGCAGCCAGAGAATTTGGCACTGGTTTGTCACTTTCAGAAACTTCAGAACTTACGCTTTCAGCATCATCATCTTCGTCAAAATCTTGATCATCCGATTTTATACCCACGTGTGATGTCCGTGTTAGTCAGTTCTCCAGTCGAAGCTGATAAATTCGTCAAAATCGATTTGCATTCGAACAAGTTCCCGACGATAATACGCTTTGAATGAATGAATGATGCCTTGATCCAAAGGTTGAATGAGACTGGTGGTGTTTGGTGGCATGAACGACAATTTGATGTTTGACAGATTTGTACCCGGCAGTAAGTTATGACAAGTTGCATTGTCAAAAAACAGAATAATCTTTCGATTTTGAGCAATCATTTTTCGATCAAGCGTTTTCATAACGTCAGTAAACAGCTGATTAGTCATCCAGGCTTTACGATTAGCGAAGTAAGAAAACGGCAGAGTTTTGACATTTTTAAAGCAGCGTGGTTTTGCCGACTTACCAACAACTACAGCTTGCTTTTCACTGCCGTCCATGTTTGTGAACTGAAACATCGTGAGTCTGTCTTTGGGAACTTTTGTCCCATTTGACTGTTCGTCGCCGGCAAATCGCAAAGATCCAGACGGCATGGCTTTGTAGAAAAATTCCCGTTTCATCACAGTTCCAAACATCTTTTGGATCATATCCACGAAAAAGTTGCAGCAAAACGTTTGTCACTCATTCGTTGGCAGAACCGTGATCTGCTGACTTTGATTCGCCGTGAAATTTTTTTAAACGAAACGTTATTGGCCTGCTTCCAGCGCATGAGCCAGCCATTGCTCGGTTCAAAATCAACTTCGAGATTTACGGCCAGTTGTGATGCTTTCTGCCTGATGACGTGATCGGTGACGGTAGTTCCATGAGCACATGCTTGCGTAAACCATTGTGTAAGCGCTTCGTTAACGTTCTTGTGCACGGATTGGCGCTTTCGTTTGCGATTAGTGTTTCCGTTCATTTGCATGCAAGCTTCTTTCTTGAGAATTTTTGCTGCTGTTGAATAACCGATTCCGTACTTTTTGGCTGCAGCGGCCAGTTTGAGTTTCTTCACTTTGACATCGTCGATGAGCTCCAACTGTTCAGAAATGCTCAGAGTTTTTCGTTGAGATGCCGACGCCGACAT